TAAATTGTCCTACTACTATTATTTAAAGTTAAATTAAAATTAGTTAAAATTAATTTAAAGTCTTCCACTTCTTTGCATGGCAAGTCCGTAACAGAATGTGTTCAATCTATGGTTTAATTTTAAGTGTGACTCGCCTCTGCCGAATCCAAGTGCTAATAGGATTATTTTACTAGGTTCATTTCAAATCAACGAACCTCTTTTTAGCGAACTCATCACCACCCCACGGTCGACACACTACGCGCGTCACGAGAGTCGGTGTAGTGGTGTAGTGTATTAGCATACAAGACTGCGACACGGCACGACACGGCCCACACAGTCATTGTTACATAACCTGTATCAGCTGATCGCATCGTTCTCCAGCTAATGATAGCCTAGGTTGCGTTCGCTGACCTGGTTGGTTCGCAGATGATGTACGGTGTCGAAGGAACAGATAACGGTTATGTAGTCTGATCAGAGCATGTAACTATAGATTTTAGGCGATACAAAGTAGCTTCTTTGAAAATAGGCTATTATGATGGACAATCAATATTTCCTTCAAAAAGCTCTCCCTCAGGACTTTGAACGTCGAGGGGTTATCCCAAGGGGATTTTATTTTAAGTAAATAGGTTTACATGTGACCTGGTTCATCGTCTACCGTTTCCTAAAACTTAAATGTGGTAGATTTAGTAGTTAACGCCAGAAACTCGTAAACTAAACATAATTCTTGTTAAGTAGATTTATCATCCTTTAGCTGAAGACAATGTTTAAGTTTAGCTCCGTAAAGTCTACGTAGGGGGTGTTTTTCTTGATTACGGGTTGTTTCTTGTTATCAACTAGTTTGAAACAAATTAGTTATTTTTAGAAACTAATGCTTGGCTTATGGTATTATTACTAAAGAGTAGTTCCAAAATCATAAAATTAATAGAATTCATCTCCGAACTCAAACGTCGCCAAGAAACCTAAAAACAAGCTTTACATTTTACAATAGGATAATCAGTCTACTTGCACTATTTAAATCCAACAAAAATCCTTTACAAAAAAACTCCACATTCGTGTTTACATGATCAGCTAGGATTTAAAAAATGTCCACATTTAAATTACATAAATCATGAACCAGTTTGTCTTCATCAGACCAGATGCAACTCACATGATTATGATGCAACCAAGATGTTACCTTATCCATCAACCGAGCCATCAGACGAGCAACCATCTTCACTCCACTTACACAACCGTTGCATACGAGATCAGATAAAACCGGGATCTAGGTTAATACAGGTTTAGGTTTCATCTTCAGCCAACCACGATTTTCCAGATTTGCATAATTCCGTTTCGCAAATGTACACTTTAGAAGTAAATCAGATCCACTCAAAAGGTAATTGGTTCCGCATCACTTGTTTACATTGTATAGCTGGGAGTTTGTAATGCAAAGATTGGAAATCGATTAGACATAAAAAACCCATGGACCTAAAATAATATGGCGCAAGCAGTAAACTACTCATCGTAGAGTATTGTACAATCAAATCCCTGTGTGTGTGTGTGTGTGTTATGTTCTAATACTTGAGTGTGCTGTCGACTATGATGTTTGTAAGTTCCCATTGTTGCACTGGGAAGGTATTGGCTCTGGGTAATGCACGGCCCAACACAAGAACTAGAATATAGTTGTTTATGAACCAATTAAAAAAATCAAAGAAGCGTTGGTCGTAACACTTGATAAAGCAATGTATTTTTTATATTATTCTGTAAATTGACTAGTTTTAAAGATTTTCAGAATATATGAAATTTTAGTTAACCACTTAAAAAAATTATACTAGGTATAGTTTTGATACTTTGTATGCGGATGGGTCATATCTGTTAAATACCAGTTAAGTACCAGTTTAAGCCAATAATTCAAGGGTTTAAAAATGTATGTGTTAACATAGACATATAGACGGACTGAAAACCTGGCATTTTAGATCCATGTATACATATATAATTTTTACTACTGTCTCTAACTAAAGAATAATTTCACAACCCAGGGAGTTTGTATACACCCTAAGATAGATATAACCTGATATTGTTACTGTAGTTAGCAACTAACCCCTAACACTGCTGAACACATGTTTAGTTATTTTATGTACTAAACATCCGTCCACAAACCGTGTAAACTGGCTCGTTTAGGCTCCACAACACGAGACATTTTCACAGACTTGCAAGATCAGCGGAAGAAAGTGAGTTGGGGACAAAGCCAGTGAAAGCTTTGAGTCGCCGGCGCCGTCAGCGTGAGTTGCCCAACCTGCGACAGTTCGCCGCACAAAGGAGTATTGTGACGCACCGCGAGCCGCCCAAACTATATAGATCACATTAGCCCATTTACAAAACCTACACCAGTTTGGTCTTCTGGGACTATGAAGGATGCGAAAATCCAAAATTATAGTGTTAAGATTTCTTCGACAAAAAAGTATCCATCCTCCGTCTATAGTTCAAATTTCATCAACTGTCGAGTTTCTTTGCAGGCAGAACTTTATAAAAGCTTGGTACACGTCAAAACACGATGCTAAACAATTTATAGCACTGTCGTTTTTTGTTTCATTTAAAACAAAAATGAAAATTTGTTAAAAAATCATTTTGCTGTTGAAACTGTTCTTCAGATGAAGAGAAGAAAGCCTATTTAGCAGGATGAATTGAGTGAATTAAATTCGCATCTGAGCATCCTTTAAAAAAGAGCAAACTAACATCTCGGATTAATCTATTTTAATATTCTAAAAAAAGAGAGGAACATTTAACCACGAACGCCAATGCAGACAATAAATCTACATCAAAACTTGCTTCAGACTTTACAATAGGAATATAAGTCTACTTCCACTATCCAAAATCAATACCAATTTGCCATCGGGCGTGTTGCTAATCTTGTGGGCTTATCGTCTTGGACTTTGGTGTACGAAGGATGGGTCCCTCGGCTTTTCCTGGTAAATTTGAGGGGGTTTAACTGCTTTTCTTTGACACATTTCTAACTATTCGTACAAAAAATGTCACCGATAAAAAAAACAAGCTTCAATTTGGAAAAAGGTCGAGTAGTCTAATTGTAATTAAAAGTCAACGTTACTCATCTGCCATCAATACGTCGAAGGGAGTGACAAAACAGGAAACCACCAAGTAGAGCATGGCATAACATATTTGTACACTCGTAGTTGCCCAACTGGTAAACTTAAATCTACCCGCAGTTCCACCTTCTCTGCGTGGGCGGACATTCTAGGATCCAGTTACACTCGATGTCTTACATAAAACACAGAATCTAATTGAACTCGAGTATCGCTACATAGCCACATCGCTACATAGCCACATCGCTACACAGCCACATCGCTACATCGACCAGCCAATGTGAACATCTTCGGTTGCATCAGGCTTGCATCAGTGGGAACATGTCCATCGATGTTGATGGGTTCCCAGCATTACCCTGTGTGGGTAATTGACTACAAGCGGGGTAATTGTGTCCACGGATGAATAGCTACGGTGCTACTGTGCTGGGAAATCGGCGGATTAGGGTGGATTTACAATTGCAACGCGAAGATAAAATGTGCTAAGGACTATCTATAGTCGTACATATTAGTTTCTGTTAGGGAAACATATTGTATGATGAAAAAGTAAAAGCGTAAGGGGTTTCGATTCATCATATTGGAGAACAATCATTGCAAATTTGAATTTAATCCTGAGAAAAGATAACATGCTACCTCCCTATTTTAATAATTGATGTAATGAGAAATGTAATCGTAATTTAATCAAAATAGGTATAGTTTCTTAATTTACATATGCAATAGAGAAGGGGCTACTCATCGAAGCGTTAGATGAGACCATATTTATTCATAGCGAAAGTAAATTATTTACAAAGCAAGAGCGTAATAAAAAGACTAATGTAACTAATGTACTAATGTACTAATGTAATAAAAAGAACTAGAAACTTTTTAACCAATTTGTCAATCAAGCCTAAGTGAAAAAACAACATATTGTAAACGTAAAACATGTTTATTATCGAATAAACTATCATTGTAAAAAAAAGAAAGAAATATAATTTTTGTAGAAACACACTCTGTGAGTTGCTAGTTAAAAATGTTCTAATTGGATTGAAACGTAGGCTACAGTTACTCGATATACAGGGTAAGGAAACAACAAAACTCCCGGGTATATGGGTCAAAATGAAGAAAAAATCAAGAATAACTTTTTTCAAAATCGCTTTGTTAACCTGATATCTGTCATTTTGATTTTTCACATGGACATTTTTATCTTTCAATATTTTCAACCTATCATTATGAAACTTGTATGTATGTCAATGTAAAAGAGACCCACGTTTGGAAAACACAATTTCTTAATCCAATTAAAATTTCCAAAATGGCCACCATTTTAATTTTTAAATTGAAATTTAAAAAATTGCTATTTTAATAATAACATGTCAACAACACTTTTATTTAGCATTTAAAATTTCCTGTCAATCGACACCAAGGTAAATAGATAGAATAAAATGTAACTGAAATATCACGATTTTCAGTTATAAAGTGAGGCAAACATAACTACAGTAGCTTAGCCTTGTTCAAGATAATTTCATGGCTAGAAGTCATGATATTTCGGTTATTTTTTACTCGATCTTTTTCCAATTGGTGTTATTTGATAGGAAATTTGAACTGCTAAATAAAAGTGTTCTTTCATTATTCATAAAACTAGCCATTGTTTTAGCAATTTCTTATAAAAGACCGCATTTTTGAAACTTTTATTTGGACTAAGATATTTTTTTTATGACGTGGGTCTGTTTTACTTCAACATACATACCAAGTTTCATAATGATCGGTGGAAAAATTCATATATTAAAGATGTTTGTGTGGTAAAAACAAAATGGCGTATATTTGGTTAACGAAGCGATTTTAGAAAAAATGTCATTCTTGATTTTCTCTTAATTTTAACCCATAGAACAAACATTTGCAGAGTATATAAGATGTCCAACCTTGGTATATAGAAGTCATTGATAGTAGACGAATAATTAATAATCAACTTACCGTGTTAGAAGCAGCTGAGACGCTGGCGATGAGGGAGAGGGAAACACAGAAGCAAGAAAGAGACAGAGCGGCCATCTTGGTGGAGACGGTCTGAAAAAATATAAAATAATATATTAGAAATATAAACGTTGATCACACTTAGCTCATTATAACATGCAGCGTTAACTTGTTAATTCCTCTGAGTAGAAAGGGTGAAGAAGAAGTGGTCCCACAACCGAAATCATGAATGCAATTCTCTTAAAAAGACATATTACATCCAATTACATAATCAGTTTACATCCATATTATAATAGTATGGTTCCGAATTCCAAGATCTAAGTAGATTGCTTTCAGGCAGGAGATCCTACCTAGTCACAATACTTAATCGTACAATGAACGTACGGTAACAAAGCTACTCCGATCACCTTACTTTATTTTACACAGACTCTACAAGTATTAAAATTGAGCTTAAAATACGTACTAACAGCACCAAAAATATCTTAGTGAAGTAATTTAGCGATTATGAAATAAGTCTTAACGTCAAATCTAAATTTTCCAAAATGTCTTTGCCATCTAATTAGTTTGATAAGCAGTAATATTTTCCTTACACCAAACTTTGAATTAGTGTTTACAGTGTTTTATAAACAAAGAAAATAAATATAAACCTTCGGTAGTATCGCCATTATGTGCTATGGTATCACCCAGCCTTGAGGACAATTAATGCTCTATGACTAACCGATTTTATCTCCGGTTTCTAATTGTAAACGTCAATTATCATTATATAAGAATATATCTTGAGTGCTCATTAATGGTGGTGATTTTGTAAAGTGATTTTCAATTAATGAATGGTTATGTTTTATGGATTATGCATCGTCACTTAATAGAATTCAAGTCACCTCTACGACCAGTAATGACGTAACTATTTACGGTTGCGTTGCGATTTTATCAATAGGAAGTTTCAGTACTTGATTACAATTGTATAGTGCTAATGCTGAACCCACTGTTTTATTTGAGCTTTTTACAACTTATCCAACATAGAATTTTTGTTTGATAGTATCATTAATAGATAGACACATGAACAATTAATTTCATTTGTGTCCATAATTGACTCTGCATTTAATTGAACCAGAAACCTTCAGAGTTAAAGACGAGCTAACATCTCGGAATAATGAATTATTGGCAAGAAAACATTACAACTGTACAATGAGTTCCCTTATGCACATGAAATAAAAATAAGAGTGTCATAAATGTGTTGCTAACTGAAATTGCATTTACATAAGTTATTTAAATTGAAATTAGTCACATTTCATCACAAGAAGCTTAGAGAAAGTTTGTCCCAGTTTCCCTCGATAGAGATTTACAAAATTTATTGAACCACTTTCATTCAGTTGATGGCCGTGTCGTCACGTGATTAGGATGATGTTTGGTTGACATCGGGGATGTCAGTGTCATTGTATGTGAGCTGTAAACATGTTTCAGAGCAAAAATATACTTATTTCCATTAGGAAATAATCACCTTTGTTAACTGGTTCAATGGCGTTCTAATTTTGGTTCCTAACATGAAAAACATCATGTAAATTACAGTAAACAACTAATCTGGACTAACTAGAAAAAGTAATCTGGATCAATGAAAGCCCGAATTTATAAAATATTCTTATATGAAGAAAAACAGCGGTAATTTGGGGACTATTTAGCTACTTAGATAGATAATATACTTATTCTGAATTTTCAGACATTCATCAAATTCTCTGAACCGTCATAATGAAGCACACTGTGAGCTGTACATCAAAATAACGTAGCTTACAGTGCTTTTAGCTGTACGACGCTTTTACAAACTGCAGTTGAGCTGCTGTCGGTTTAATCATAGCTTTTACCAAAGATTTATTACAGCAACACATCCAAAACGTCGACCAGTTCAACGTAGGTCATCTGCCGAAAACCAAGTGCATCAAGCGAGGAGAAGCAATTTTGCTACTTAATAAAAATGGAAAACACACCTCTCAAATTAGTCAAAACCTCAAATATATCAAATAGTTCAGTATGCTAACCAACCACGTCTAACTAAACAGCCTGTTCTATTCACTAATATCTCCATATAATAAACAATGCTCACATAAAGAGCACCATCCGCTCCATTTCTCCTTATTAACACGCGTCGCTTCGCCGCAAATTCGGTCAGAAAACAAAGGTGAAACTCGCGTTTGTGAGAATGTGCGGAAGGTACGGGAAGCTCACTGACAGAGGCCGGAAGTAGTTACACAGAGTAAAACGGAGGGCAAGTGAATCCACAGAGTAAAGAGCACGACAGCAAAAGTGTTCCACAATGGCTGAGGATTGTAGGATTGCACATGCGCTTGAACCTCCTGGTAATCTTCTACAACACTTTCTACGGAATATGGTCCTTCGAGTCGGATAAACTGCAGTTCTGATGACGAGATGCAAGCTCATCTAGGAGGGATTGTGGTGTTACTCTATGTGTAGCACGGATTGTAGGCATACTATACCTAAATCATGGTAGCACATGCGATTGGCAATTATATTTTTAGTTTACAATTGAGGTGTATTTTGGTTATAGTAGGCCTAAGTGATTTATTTTTTACTTGGTTTAAACAATCTTAGGGGAAAAGGGTCAATTGTGGTATGGTTTAATTTTGTACGCGTTTAAATAATAAAGCTTTCAGAAATTATAATGAAGCTAGTCGGAAATCAAGAAACTTATCGCTTATAGTTAGCGAGTTATAGAATAGTTTTAATACTCAGCCATCATAATGAAGTACATGATGAAGCAAGTGAAAATATCAAAGGGTATTATTTTAGGTAAATAGGGAGTTAGGGATGATTATTTACTTATGATATTAGATATGGCATAAGATATGACATAAGACATCCAATGCAGGCGATGAGGTAAAATATCTATCAATAGGAGAACAAGAAAATGAGGAAAAAATACTAAGAAATATAGAAAGGTAGGTGAAGGTAATTGTGTAGGAACTGGTTTGAGCGTGAAGAAAGTGAACGCTATAGCTTAATAGAAATTTGAATATGCTGTGTGTATAACAAACTTGTATCAAAATAATCTGTGATCTAAATAGCGACTCAAACAAGACACTCAAGGTTAAGACTGAAACAAGACGAAACTGTTTGAAAGGAATTGCAAAATCTTTATCCAGTCTACAAACATTGCAGTAGAAACATTTATTTGAAAGCAAATAAAAACAACCAACTCTGGAATGTAAATCTTCTAAAGTAGGCCAAGATGGTAAATATTTACTGTCACTGGATTTACAGCTGCCCAGATATTGCCTTTCACCCTATCAAGCTTACAGCCATTGAGCTTTATTGCCACGATATGTATTCTCGATGCAGCCGTAAAGAAACACTAATCAGATGCTCAAAAATAAACATTTCGGTAGCACCAGCACCGGGAAATCCTGCCAACCTCAGTAAACAATTTAAACGCTTGAAGAGTATACGTGAATGTTGGTAGCACCACCAGAAAGCCGTACTAACATCACTTAACTGTTAACGAGCTGTTTTCGGGCGTTCATGTTGCTCAGGAAGACAACATGAATTTCGGAAATATAAATGGAAAGTCCTATCTACGTCTGTATACGGGTTAACGCTCAAAAATATAACGTAAATTGTGACAGTGTCACTGGAAAATCCAACCAACACCAAACAGTTTAGCACTCAAAGAGAACCATGAATGTTTTACTAGGCTCGTAGGCTACCATCGGAAAATTCAACAAACGCTAAAGACTTAAGTTCAAAAACATAACGTGAACATTGTAGTGCAATTTCACAAAGTTATTTTTGAAGCTAGTGGCAAATATAATATGTCAAAGAATAACGTTCCTTTTGCTTACTCCAGAATCCCTCAGACAGTAGACGTTTGCAAAGGCACCTGTTAGTAAGAGTACATCTGTCACAGTGATCTCCACCTCCAAGGCCGAACGTGGGTCTACAATCACAGATGAACACCGACATCACATTGTTGGATTGTTCTGATGTCAATCAGAGATCTTCTCAACGTACATCACGATCCCGCAGTCCCGCACTCACGACCTACTGACATGAAAACCGGCATCGCGCGTAACGCAATATTACCTTCAACGGAACGTGCCCGTTGGACATTCTTTGACGCGTCTCTTTTTACCAAAGCTTCATATTCCTTATGCAGGCTGTAGTTAAAGTGCCTTGCATGTTTTGGAAACCTATAGTGAGATTTTTGCCAATTCTTTGACAAAAAAGTTGAAATGTTTTAATTTAAATTGACACTATCGTTTCGCAATATGATATTTTTGCTTTTTCAGTACATTTACAGTAGGAATGCTGATTAAATAAACCTATCATGTTGCAATATTTGGAATTGTATATTACGATTAATTTGGAGTATAAGAACTTATGGTATAATATTGCTAGTATTCAAATTAATGGGGCCGGACCACGTGAATAAAGTGTTTGAAACGTTTCCCCATCAAAATAGCAAAGGTTGACCTAAAGAGAACTGTACAAAATGCTCTTTAAGTCTTAAAAATGTCCCTAAAGTTTAATATTGAAACACGAATTGTATTAGATTTTATGTAACATTGACAGTAACAAAGATATATTGTTTATTATCCACATTTTATAATAATCGCCTTCAAATCTGAAGGTTGCTGGTTCGATCCTGCTCTCGACCAAGGTGCCATTTGTCATCGGGCTAGACATCTTACAAAGGTTTGACATAGAGTAACAAGACCGAAGAAAAAATACAAAGAAACGTTAACACAGAATTTGACTACATAGTCAGACAAGAACTATGCTCGGTTTGAAACATGAAACATCAACTATATAATACTGTAATACCCATTGTACCTCTCCTTATAATCAATGGAGGTGCAAGTCTGGAACAAAAGGTATTGTTTGCAGCGTTTTAATTCAATAATGAGACGTCGAAGGCGTCACCGGACCAGAGTGGTTGTTATATCACCGCGTTGCGACCGTAAACAGCCTCCACTACTGGAGCAAACGCCGCTTACGGTCACGATATGGCGGGTAACTCCGTCATTAGGCTGCGTTTATGGCGGGAAGTATATGAGTTTCCTGGTAAAAGTTGCATCATAATATAT